CTTGGGCGCGCGAGCTGGCTGGCTGGCGCGGCTGACTAAGCTTGCGTGCGCGCAAAAAAAAAAGTGGAGGCCAGGCCACGCCGCCACCTGCGTGCGTGCTCATGCGGGCTCACTGCCTGTTCTGCGTGCGTGCTCATGCAGGCTCGCTGGCTGGCAGGCCCGCTGACCGCCGCCCGTCTGCCTTGGTATAAAGTCTTGCCCCGCTCCGCTGTCACTCCTTCCCTCCCGACACTACCCTCGGCCCTTCGCCCGCCATCGACCCTTGCCTGCCATCGGACCTTGCCAGCCATCGGACCTTTGCTCGCCGCCACCACCCAACCGCCGTCAGCCCTCGCTCGCCGCCATCGGCCCAATCAACCTTGACGCCACCAACAAGCACCTTCCCCAGCCGTTTCACCCCGCCACCATCGACGCCGACTCGCCGCCACCACCAACGCCAACTCGCCGCTACTGCCAACGCCAACTCGCCTCCACCGCCCACACAATAAAGATCGCCTTTTCGCAAGCGTGGGTCACAAGCTGTACGTGCGCGGCCGCTACCTGCTGATCTCGGGCGCTGACGGCGATTTCTGCTTGCCTCCCACCACGCACTTGGCAGATCATCAGCATGCCAGCAGGTGAGTTGCCCTTTCCAATTCTGTCGCATCTCTCGCACTGATTGACAATGCTGACAATGCTCCTGCCTTTCTCTCTCCATCTCACCAGCAGCCGCAGCCACCGAATCGACACCGACCCCGGCCTGCAATCGCTGTGAGTCCACCCCTGCTGGCTGCTGGCGTAGGTGCTGCCGCCGGTCGATGGTGCTAATGACGGCCTCGGTATTTGCCAGTTGTACGCTTGTCTTCAGTTGCATCCTTGTTTGCAGTAGCGTAGATAGCGTATTTTGCAATCAAAGCTAGTGTACGTGATCAATAGAACAGCCTGCACTTTACTCGTAGCCTGGCTACGATGCGAAAGTCATAGGTAGGGCTAGTCTAGCTACGATCTGAAAATCGTAGGCAGTATACGACCTGAAATCCGCACAGCTTCTCTGGACCCATAATTGTTTGTGTAGAAGGATCTCCTACGATCTGAAAATCGTAGCCAGGCTACGCCTAGCTACGATATGCCAGATCGTAGGTTGACTCTGCTGCTAGCTATGAGTTGGCTGGCTGGCTGGCTGGCTGGCTCAGGTGCCGGCTGAGCCACGCGGCTGGGCTGGGCTGACCAGTGGCTGGCAGGTGCTGGCGGCTGGCTGGCTGGCTGGCGGCTGGGCGAGTGGCTGGGCTGGCGGCTGGCAGGGCTGGGCCAGGCAGGTGGCGGCTGCGCTGCGCTGAAGGCTGGCAGGTGGCTGGCGGGTGGCTGGTGGCTGGCGTCAGGCGGAGGTGGTAGGAGGGCAGGAGGGATGGGTGGGCAGCGGATGGATTTTGCAAAGGGCCGGGTGGCAAAGGGGTCAGCGCGCGCAGGGCCTCCCAAGCTGACGTAAGCAGAAAGGGCCATATTCTGCGCAGGGTAGGGTCGGTCCAGGGCCATAGGAGGCCTACGGCCAAAAATGCCATAGCTGCTCCCCAGAAAATGGCCGTAGGAGGTTTGTAGGGGGACCTACTGCCAAAAATGCCGTAGGAGATTGCCAATTTCTGGCCGTAGGTGGCCTACGGCCTTTTTCTAGCGTAGGTGACCCCCGATCTCCTGATCGCATGCCGTAGGTCAGCCTTCGGCCAAGATCCAGGTGCCCTTTGACGCCAGCTATGCCTTCACCTGTACAGGGGTGGCCTGGAGCCGCTGTATGAGCTGCCCTTGGTCTGCAATTGCTGCACTGACTGGCCCCCAAGGGGATCATGGATGTGCAAACATGAAAGCAAGAGAGCTTTGGGACCATTTGCAGATTAGGTAGGATGTATGTTTGTCAAAGCAGGCCTCTCTTCCATCTGCGGCCATAGGACCCTGAAAGCACTGCATCCCGTCCGATCTGCAAAGTTAAGCAGGGTACCGCCTAGCTAGTACTGCGGTGGGGACCACGCGGGAATCCTAGGTGCTGCAGTTCCCTTTTGCCTTTTTCTTCTTTCCCCAACCACTACCTTTCTTTTTTGCCTCAGCATGCTGTCCACCTCATGCCTTTGCCTTTGCCCCTTGCTTCCTGCCCCCCTAACAGGCCCTGGCAGCTTTCTGTAGTCTCACAGGTCTGCCAATGGCCTTCCTGCAGTGGGTCTTGGAAATGCCTCTGCCTCAGAATCGCACGGGGAATGTCCCAAATATGCAGGAAGATCTGCATCCACAGAGCATCACTTGACTTGACAGGCAGGAGGCCTCCAACACCTCTGCTTCTGTCCTATAAAGGCCTGGCCTGAAGCCAGATTGCTGTGGGTGGCCGTTCCTTGCCTTGGATGGCCAGGGAGCAGCAGCGCAGGACTGCCTCCAAGCATGGGCCAGGAGACCATCCATGCCTGCACTGGGAGCAGGTTGCTGGCCACATGCTGGTGTCAGCATGCCCAGCAACTGCCTCTTCCTCTTGTCCTTGTCCTTGTCCTTGTCCTTGTCCTTGTCCTTGTCCTTGTCCTTGTCCTTGTCCTTGTCCTTGTCCTTGTCCTTGTCCTTGTCCTTGTCCTTGTCCTTGTCGTTGTCCTTGTCCTTGTCGTTGTCCTTGTCCTTGTCCTTGTCCTTGTCCTTGTCCTTGTCCTTGTTCCTGTTCTTGTTCCTGTTCTTGTGTCTGTTCCTGTTCCTGTTCTTGTGCTCCAGCTGCAGGACTACAGCTGTACCTTGCCCCTGATGGTCCAGGAAAGTATGAGGTGTGTGTCACAAGACTGCCTCCCTCATGCCTGGGAAAGTGGAGATGGCCCTGGGGTAATGTATGATTCTGTGGATTGGCATGGTGTCTGAGTGCTCTGGCACAGATAGCAATGTGTTGTAGAGGCCTCAGAGGTGGCAGGAGTGGCCTCTTGGCTGGTCCAACAACAGACTGTGATAGCACGCTGGCATGCTAGCATGCTCAAGGTCTTGGTCTTCCAGTCTTGGCTTTGCAACAAGAAGGGGAATGTTTGCCCCTGCCTGCCTTGCCCTTTTCCCCTCCTTCATGAGGGCCCAACATGTGCCTGGAAAGGTTGTCATCCCTTCTGGACCAGGAGAT